TAATCTTAATAAACTGAAGTGATACTTCATACTGATCTGAGTTTATTTGCAACAATATATAGTCAGTGTCTAGCATTTTAATAGAATAAAGAACATGTATTAAACAAGTTTTGAATTGTTAGTTTCAAAATGCATACATATTATATTAGCGTGATGTAAATTTGTTAGCACACACGTTCATTTTATCGGTATGGTTATTGAACCGATTGCCACATTGTTAATGTTATTCAATTAGCTTTATGTTGGGGACCAAATGTCAACCGTTCGAGTGCTTGAGCAGCATAATTTAATGGTTTTCCTTAAATTTTTGTGCGTATCAATCAAACTATGGTCACTCATGGTTTAAAAATGTTCAGCGAATCACTGTATCACGAGTTTTCTTCAAAACATAAAAAAAACTCGTGTTGTCGTTTGCATTTTAATTCTTCCGACTTTGTGTAGTTTGGTTTTCGTTTAATATGTGTGAATTCTCAGTAAATTATCGTTTCGTTTCTCACAAGCCACCTTAAGTCATCAACAATCGCCGGTCGAGTTACATCGATCGCTCACTTATTGATATCTTATTCATTGCCGCCTTAACCGCTTTATTATTGTACTGTGGTTCCGTTGGTCGTAGTATCAGTACACTAATACTAATCTACTGAGTATAGACTTATGACACCGATCATTTTAATGTATTCTAAGAAGATAATGTTGATTTACACCTTTAATTTGTTAGGCTAATCACCGTTTAATTACTCTCAATCGATCCTCTAATATGAAGTATGTCAAACAGTGATTTATTCAATGTAAAACGTACCGGAACAGATGCCATACTATTCAGTGAACATTTAACTAACCAAAATTAATATATGTCCAACATTCAAATAGACGTTTTTCTCAATAATCTTGTGAGTATTTTCGTATGGACTTACAATTATGAAAGTATTGGTATTTTCCGCAAAGCTCTATGCGTCACCGATGACCCTTGTCTGAATCACTGGACTGCCGCCTGCCGCCGCGGTTATGTTAATTACTTAGTAGGTGTATGTCACATGAAGAAGATATAGACAATATTGATAGTTCAAGAAGAACAAGTCCAAGAAAAATAATAACTTGTCTTTGTATCCTATAAATGAGGTTTCATACCTTAGATTGTGATCGTGTCTGTAATAGTAAGTAGGTAGTGGTTGCATGCCATTATTGCTTTGGCTTGCTGCCTTCCAAGCGAAGTTTCCGGTCGTCTGTATTATTCTCATAACGTTGACAATCACCATGTACTTAGTGGTGTTTTCATGATGATTTTACGTTTCAGTAAAACTAAAATCACTTCACCGTGTCGTGACGAAGTCTTTTTTTGTTCATCGAGAAAACAATAAAAGTTATCATGTTACACGACTAGCTTTTTGACAATAACAATAATGATTGTTTGTTTATGTACTTCTATATAAATAATTTTGGGATTTAATGCGACTGTCTACTGAATAGTGTCATATTTCTCTGGATCGCAAAGGTAATTGTATCTTAACATTTTCATCAATGGCATAGAATCTAGTTTTGTGGTCAGGAGTCCATGAATTTCGTGAATTTCTGCCTACACTTTAGGCGAATACTTGGCACGATGATATGATGATAGATTAAAAATGTTTATTGCGACTGCGCGAAACTCCGGTGTGGCGATGCATGATTGGATGGTAAACTACAAATGAATATGAACGATGATGTGGTAGTTATAAAGGTCATATCGTTATTGTCAGTTTCTCTTGCTTGCAGAGTCCTAAGGACATCACGGTTAAGTTTTCTTTGTACAGTGTAATCTACTAAGTGAAAAGTTCGTGTTAATGTTTTAAAGTTTCAAATTCATTGTTTGGTTCGCGACCAGCTGAAGAATTCTGCAGGTATGTAGTAATGTAGTTGAGTTAAAGTTTAGAAAGCAGTAATAATTTTCAAGAAATGCCAATAGCTTTGTCCCATTTAAAAGGTTGTTCGCGACAGTTATCGTTTGTCAGTAACTAGTACATTACAGTTAGTGCTTAGACATTTATTATTTACTACAGGTCTTCTGCATTCTTGTGAGGTTAAGGAGCAATTCACTGCCTCTTCGCAGCACTAAATATTTTGTTTGTTCACTTCAGTTGCGTAGTTCGGAGAAATAAACTTTAAATTACGTTCGTTGGACATTTCCTTACATCACTATCGTTCTTACATCCCTGTGAGTTAAGTATCAGTAACATCACGTCTATTACTCTCCTGATGGGTAGGTAGGACTGTGTGTCTAGCAATTTTAATCCTTTGAAATGATATCTGTTATAATATTTATGATCTTTATATGACTCATATTCAATTTTAGGTAATGTTTTATACCAATTACAACTTATAGTTAATGTTTATGGTTAGTGGCCAACTATTAGATAGCAGATTATTACAGGAAAAAGACTTTCGCAATGTTTGCCTAGCGATGGAAACGTAACGCACGATCGTCACGATTCGCATCATTTTAAATGGTTGTTGTTTTAAAATTGGGTTATGCAACGGTTGAGGCCGTTTAAGCGCGACCCAGTGCAACTTCGTAGTTGCAGAATATCATGCAGTTCAATTCAATGATGGCGAAATAAGTAAGGCTTTTATAGTAGTGTCGGTAACCTGCTTGTGTCAATAAAATTAATGCTATGTCATCATAACGTTTCTTGCTATCATTATTGTTAATACTGTTAACGGTTACGAAATGGTCTTCATAGTGACATAGTAGTTATTATAATTTAAAATCAGTCGATGCTACAAGAAACTTGGACTTTGCAATGTCAAACAATACACCCACAACATAACTAAATTAGGTATCATCCATATTTTTGTATGCAAATATCGACATTGGACAAAAGTGCATCGATTCCAATTTCGAGTAAACGGACTTCCATATTCTATGACTAATACACTTGCGATGTCTGTGGTCATCACAAACATAATAGATTTACATCTACATATATAACTCCGTGGTCACACATAGATAGGATCATGTAGCTTGCGTGTTGATTGCTCATTATTCTTCGTGTTGACTGCGCCAGCTCATCGAATCTAGGTACATGTATTTGCTTGAAAATGAAAATAATCTTACAAGATGGTTTTCTGTGAGAATGAACCAATAACAAGCGTGTGACAGGTTGTGTTTACGTTATAGTTAAAAAAACGGGAAGTCAACCTGCTTTTTTGTTTTGTTTATCTTAGGGATGTTTGTCTTTTTCTTCCGTTCTTTTAAAATATGTTTGCCTATAAGGATTTTATCCTCAACACAGTTTTGATACTTCAATATCAAAACTGTTCAGTACACGATTCCTAAACCGATTTGATTATTTTAACCTAAGTGAAGCACGAGTTTGTTTAGATATTTTGGCAATCGTTTATTAAAAGTTAATTGTTTACTGACACGAAGAGGACTTTGAAAGTGATAGTTTAGAAGGCAAGAGTTTTAGAGGTCGTAAGTTCACGCGATCATGATGCGAGGTTTCGAAAGGTAATTTAGAATCTAAATTGTTTAGTGGTTATAGAAACACTGAGTTCAATATGAACATTAAAAACCTCTTTGATTTGAGTCTGTGATGGAAAATCCATTGTAGGTTACACATTACTACAGATTGGAAGTTGGAACTTGACTTTACGATTGATATCTGTTCAATTCATGAATAGAGCTTGATGATCTCAGATTATCATTCTAGTCTGGATAATAGGTCATTTAAATCTCTCTGCGTTTTTGTTTCTCTCTAATGATCGATGTGGTGCTTAGTTCTGAATACGTTTCTGATTCAAGTGCGTTAAAAAAATAAGGTAACAAGTACCTACATTCCTCTACGATTGCTTTTTGATCTTATAAATAAACCGAGACAAATAGGTCATCAGACTTGTTATAAAGTAACAAGGAAGTTCAGGCCAATAGTAAATAACATTATGTCTAACTTAACGGTATTACCTGTAGATGTATACTGTGAATCAGATACTCATAAATCATATACCGTAAGTAGAAGCTTCCCGTCTAAATATGTACGTAAAGTACATGTGTAATGTCGCCATTGTTCACCAAGTCTGAACCTTTGTCTGCTTTTCTTTATTCTTGAAGATGAAGGTTATTGATTTGATAAACATGATACACCTGGTTTTGCTTTTATAATTCCGATAACTTTGTTTTCCAAATAAGGCTCGTGTGAGTTGAAAATACATTTGATATATCTTTCTCTTTCACCTCTTTGTTATCATATTTATATCTAGTTTAGTGACATACTAAGTTTAAAAGTATGTTATGAATTTGGTCGCTAGTAAAAGCTAGCTCGCATTAGAAATACTTGCCAATTTTTTAATGTTAATGAGGTTCCAAAATTTTAAAAAAACTTTCTTTTATGTTCTAACGATAAACGTGGCTGTAAGTAGGTATGTAAGCTCAAAGCTACAAGCATAAATTCTATAACAAAAAGTTGGAGGCAACTTGAAACTTCTTTGGGGGAGTTTCAAAAAATTTAGGTTGCCTTATAAATTCTTCCTTAATCTCTATTCACATCAACAACTCAGCAATCTACTGTGTAGTGTTCAAGTGTATGTGTATAAAACTTGTCTTTTTGGTCCTGATTTCGCCGAAAATGAGTGTTTAAATGCCATCTACCTACCTGCTGATAACCAACCCGACCCTTCCGCTGCCTAAAAAGTCCAAAATGACTTAAAACGCCAGATAAGAATTCTTAGAATCATAAATGTCGCAGTTGTTTTTGAGATTGTTTGTATCAAAGAAGTACACGTACATTCGCAATAAGAAGAGTAAATAAACAAGTGGTTAAGGTAGTAAACAGTAAAACATATCAATCGATGTATAAAGCCTTTATCACTTCTTATAGCTTTAAAAGCAAATTACAACCAGGTGTTAGTCAATATAAATGTAATGTAATTGTAATAAACGTGTTGGAATGCATTGTGGAACAACAATAACGAAATCTCAAAGTTTTGTGACACTTGTTATAAACAATTTACTAACTTAATCTTACCTTAATTTTCAAATTGGTGCCGCCGTAGTCCTGACATTTAACCAGATACAGGAATAGGTCGACTAAACAAACAACAGAAAAGCTACTTTCAATACACCGAGGACTTAAAATCTGGTTCCGCGATACCGCTATGCACTTAAGGAGAAGTTTACGAACGCATACTTCGCCTGTTTCAAAACTGCGCACACTGTACCGCACTGTTAATGTTTAAAAACCGTCTTGTTGTTCGTTGTGCTTAGAATACAATATAGTTCGTTTGACGGTGGCGTTCGTTCGATCGTTTTATCGTTGAACCGGTAGGACGGGGTGCGATACCTGCCGCGAACCCGTCGACTAATCGACTGTCTGCGCTGTAGGGCACGTGTTTACATGAGATCCATTCGTGTGTGTGCGTGCGAGAAGGCTTCGCTGCGCCTGCGAGTGTGCGGTGTTACCAGCACAATAAAACTACCAACGATCTTGTCGTAGACGCAGCGTCCATTTTAGAAGTGATTTACCATAAGTATTATTTGATAATTCATATATTTTTATCGATTTATAGGTGTTATTAAGAGTAGCTCCTAAATATCAGTTACTTGAAAATGTCTTGAAACTTTCAAACTTTAGTTTTTCATTTTATCGTTAGATTCGTGCGTTCGGACATATTATGTAGATACAATAACGCTGTTTAAGGGTGCTCTATACTTTACCACATTCGTGAATAATTCGAATCTGTTAAAAATTAAATTATTAAGGCGTTTTGTTATTAAATTATTTGGTTTATGTTCGTAGTTAATATAAGTATACCTATGATAGTGACGTGCATCAACATCAATCACAGTTCTACATATAAATATGGAATAGTACGTACTTACTACTACTGAACATAAAATCAACCCAACATCTCCCTAAATGCTACAATTGTAGTAAAGAGCTTACTTACGTCATCATGAGTCATTACATTACTTACCTACTGTTTCCAAATCTTTGGTATTAATTTCACTGATCAAAATATACAATACTTTCTCCAATCTGAGTATCGAATAAGAATATTAGGCTCAACAATCCTTCGATCATGCTCGATGTTTTCTACCTATGCTGGTTCCCAATATTTTGAAATTTTGCCTTACTTGGGCAGAAATACTTTCGCGTATGGCAACACTAATAACTTAGACAGCTACGTATACAAAATCGGAGGAGCTTTAATAAAGCACTGTGGATCCTTTGGGTTTAGTTTTATTTTCATTTATAAATAGCTTACATACTGGTTTGACTTCTTGCAAACAACTGCGACACTGTAATGGCGGAGTTTCTCAAAACATTCCACCATTTTGACTTTTTAAATTAGGCATCAATTTAAGCACTAAACTGGTTATTCTGGTCGTCTCTGATCCCGGTCGTTGTTCTAAATTGATTAGTCATCATTAGTTGCAGCCTGGGAATACCAGATTAAAAATATTCCTGGTAGGTATCTTGATGATAATCTTGAAGTGTAGTAAAAGGAGCTCTTGTTTGTTTTAAATCAGGGAATTGTTGGTCCCCTTTGGGTAGATGGTTCACCTAGGCTTTTCTCATTACCATGGACTTTTAGTCTAGTACTTTTCTTATTCCTTAGTCATTATCAATTCGCAGTATCGATTGATTCAAACGGTGTTGTAAAGTTGTTAAATGAAAATCACCAATTATAATTTTTAGATTTATTTTATTTTCAATAACATAAAAATGTTATGTTTTTTTCATTTTACACATTTCGAAATGAATTCATTGAGTACCAACCTGTTTGCTAAACTTTTCACATAATGTTCAATACGCTACAGTACAGTTTGGCTGTTTAAACTTCAGAGTCATGGGTCGCATGTTACCTTATTTAGAATTCTTTTTCACTTATTTCCAAATGCTGCTTATATTTGTACGAGCACAAAATCTACTTCACAGCAGTTCATTATAATATTCAACAAAATATATAATAATATTGTAATCATTTACTCACTTGGATGGATCAGTCGATTCGATTTTTGTTATTTTTTTTTAACGTGATATGCTATAAATTTTTTGTGATATTTTCAATTTTATATAAACAAATTCATTATTTTTTAAATTACCTAAATTAGGTAAACATGTAAAAAATTACTATTTGGTCTTACAAAAATCGTTGCGATGATCCATCCAGTAGCAATTTCCACTACAATAAATAGATCTAGCTAACTGGAATTGAAGGTCCCTTAAAATTATGTAATTTATGCTAAAGCTGTGATCAACTAGACACACAATCAATCAACCACGAACGGACGACGACAAAACATTTGACAACGATTCGTAAATAATTTATAATTTGTTTGAATAATTGACCACGGCTTTGTATAATACTAATTTTATTGTTTTCCGTAATAGTTTGACTAACTCTAAAGAGGCGTCCATATTCATAGCATGAAGTAAAGATGCGCAAATCATCAATTTACACAAGATAGTGAAAGTATCGACAGTTTTACATACAACTCTAAGTTAGAGATATTTTTATAAACTGGTATTAATTTTTAATAACCGTAAATAATGTTTGAAAATTTTACGAGATCTAAATGAGTTTGTGATTGTCATTATTTTACGGGAACTTAATTCCATCTAGAAAGAAAAATGTTGACAATTTGCGCTGCGCATTACTCTAATTAAATACAGATAATAAAAATTAAATAAGTTAACAAAATAACAAAATAATGTGATTGATTTTGCTTGCGCAACATTACTCGAGAATTTGAAAATTGGAACCAAACATTTGAAAATACGTGAAATAAGATTTTGTCAATTCGATGCTCATCGCAATTTCAATTCTTATGTATTAAATGTATAAATATTTTAAAACAATGTATACATATACATATTAACTCTATTTATTTAAATAAAATTTATTTATCAGCACTTTATTATTATTGCTTTACGTGATTCTGAGGTGGGCAAAACGAAACAAAATTAAGATGAGCACAGATGTAACATATGTATATATAATATGTATTCTTCTATGTATGTTTGTTTATATTGGCGGTTTGCACTTGTAAATAGAAAACGTTTTAGAGCACAGATACAGTAGACTCAACATATGTGAAGTAGACGATAGACATATTTAAGTTATTAATCATGTTTTTAAACTCATAAGTTCGGGTATGTTATGTGACTATATCCAAGTTCAGGAAAGACAAACTAAAAGATAATTAAAAAAGAAAATATTATTATAAAATTAGTTTCTATAGATATAGGAACTTTTTGCCTACAAATCAAAGAAATATCAAGAGACTAGTTTAGTATAATTGAAACATATAGATGAACAAAATAAATAAGTCTTAAATGTTCTTGTATTTTTAATGGTTCTAAAATATTTGACTATTAAAAAATAGTTGTAAGTTTACTGTACTGAGCTCTAAACGTGCAGGCTTGTATAATAGGTATGGTAATTTTGTATGTACATGTAAAACCATGTGTAGATTTTCTTTAATTTAGTAATACTATACTAAACTGGCCGTCATATAAGTATCTGCCATGTTCTTCTCCTGTATATAACTAGGTAATATAATATTCTTATCTAGATTCATATTTACAAATAATACAGTTCATTACTATTTATATAGAAATTAAAATATATTTCTATCATTCTTCGATTCACATAACGCAAAATAATTTAACAGAGTTCATTTTTGCACTCACATTTACAATATACTTTGTAACTAATTTGTTACCATTTATTTGTTTATTCAAACAACTCATTTAGAATATATCACCCAAAAGCGAGTAGCGTTATACTCACGAATCCTATCATATCTTACCATTTAAAAATGCAGAATATGCGAAAACTTGAAGGAATATGTTTACAGTAAATGGCAATTGAACATTATAGTTCGCTCGCATCCAATAGGAACTATAAGATTCACAATGCCTCCGGACGGGCCAGCCGCTCGCGCTAACCTATACGTACAAAGAGCCGCCCGGCTCCGCCCACAGTACACAAAACAACTAGCACAAATAAAATAACTCCTCTTTATTATTTACACCCGGTGAACTAATCACAAATTATGGACACAAATCAAAAACTAATCGATTACAGTAATATCGAACAAGAAGTTGAATTATTTATGAAAATTTGTGTTACAGTTTATGCTAGAGTTTAGAATGTTAAAGGAGCTCAGTAGCGCCACCGTGTGTGCGGCGGTGCGAGGAACTATACATGCACAACACCGCAGTGTCTATGGCCGTTGCCTCCAATACTTTACTTATATACCTAATAAATGTTCTCCAACACCATTGTTTGAACAATCGATGCCTCTGTGTGCCACTGTATTCAAAACAACAGTACGATCGGAACTTCTACTAGACGATAACACCTTTACAAGGTGACAGAGATTCTGAAGACATCTACTGTTCGGACGCACCGCTGTATTGAACCCAGTGACACGTGGAGAAGGAACTAAAATCTAATATCACAATATCGGGCTTCTGGCTTGCTTGATTGCGAGTTGAACAAACGCCTAGTTTTACTTTCAGACGAACAAATCTCATTGTAACAAGTATTACGTAGACGGTTATAGACATCAGCAAGTTTTTTGTGGATATTCCACTAAACAGGTAGAATATTTTCTGTTAAGTACATATCGAGATCTTCAGTTTCCTTTGTTGGTTTTAATTGACAATCCTGTATGTCATCCCGTCTACGTATCCTGCAGGTCACCGTCTGTTCATTCAAACAGCGCCAGGAGGTCGTCGGAGGAAGGCGCACGCGGTGGATGGCTGCCCGCCGACGATGATGACGACGGCGGCGTCGCTAGTAGTTCACCTAGTGCAGGTGCGTCTAAATACGACAATAGCTCCATCGGGTCCACACTTGTCTCCGGCAATAACTAGAAAGGAAAAATATAAAAATCAGGCTTTGATCGACGCTCCGCTGGTGGTGATTCCTTTTTATAATTGGCTTAATGAACACAAATCAATTACCATTCAGAGGATCAACAATGAAACATCCAACGAGGTAAATGTGAATATTTTCAAATGTGTACAAATACCAATATTGTATTTACCTACTTTTCTTTCTTTTAATAAATTCAACTGTGATCTGCTGTAGCTATAGCAATGATATTGTATGTAGTTTTACAGCAATATATGTTCTAAGTACTTACATTGAGATTATCTGTCCCTTCTCCATCTATGACGGCGGCGGGATCAAAATTGAGGTCGGCGGGAATGTCGACATCGGTGAGGGAGTGGTGGTCCACGGAAGGCGGCCCCGGCGTGTGCGAGGAACCCGGCGTGTGGGCGCCGCCACCGCCCGGTGTGTGCGCTGAGCCCGGCGTGTGCGGCGTGTGTGGTGTATGTGGCATCTGCAATACACCATACTTCAGACACAGATTCTCACCCAGGTATGCTAAACACATTTAAGATTTTACACTAAACACATTCACTTGATAATAACAACTCTTACCTGATCGTTAAGACTCTTCTCCATCGCGTTCAGAGGATCTAATGAGTTTACACTCTCATTCAGATGAGACAGAGGTCCGTTTCCAGCAAACTCGTTACTGCCAGGCCCATTGTTCATACCGAAATCATAATTCTGATTGTTCGAACTTGAATTTCTGTTCTGACCGTTTTGGTTATAGGAAGAGATCATAGAGCCACTGGCTATTGTGTTCATGTCAGGAGGAAGGTATGGCGATAATGCCTGGTTCATATCCCAGTTGTTCATTGTTGGCATGTTCATAGAACCCGGTGATACTGCTTTACTACGCTTTCCTAAGCTGCCGTCACTGCTATCTTCTTCTTGCTGCGGAAACAAAGTAAATAACACTTTAGAAACGATCTACATTTGGCACTAGTAGTTGTGTTAATTAAAAGTATAAACAAGCGTTATTGTGCTTCGTCGTGTGATAAATACTCACCTTAATCCCAGTATTGTTAGTTATTTTAGTAGCCTTCCAGTTGGCGCCACTGTCGATTGTCACTTCATCTACATCTGAACTGTTTAACGTGTTTAGGATGCCCCACATGTATTGGTCGACTTCTAACCCTTCTAATTGTGCTGGTTTACTGAAATGATAAAATGTTTTGTAAGATTTTGTACATTTTGTTATATAATATGGTTAGGTAAATGTATACAATCTAAGTGAGACTTACTTGCAGACTGGACATCGCCATGACCCCCGTTCACAGTTTAGTTGTAAATACGATTCCAGATCGAAACACTGTATGTGTTTGCATTCGTGTCCACGTGCTGGTAAGGTGATCTTCTTACACGTAATTGGACATTTTAATGATACTTTTAAAGCTATTTGTTCAACACTGTCCCTGTCATTGGCAGTGTTAGATCCATTGCTACCGTTTGTCGGCGTTTGGTTGAAGTTCATTTTGATCTTCGCGATACAGTGGTCTGCTGTTAATAGGCGTTTTCTTAATAGGCCTTGCAGCACACTTCGTACGCTCGGCCGGTGAACTAATTGTAATACAAACAGATGCGACTGAAAAGAAAAGACAAATATAAAGTTTCATTGTTTATGAGTTTGCAATTTGCATTAATGAAACATGTATCGGTTAATTAGATGAATTAAATGTAAATACTTACACAGCAACAGGCTGAAACGGTGATCTGTATCGTGTTTCTGCCTGGCTGGCACACTTCTTTCAGGTACAATGGTTTGTGTGATGTTTTGTTCTCTCCTCTATCTATTACTAATGGAGTCGCGTTGACCGACACTTGAACACTTGCTGGCCAGTTTGTGTTCATCTGCCTATCTTCGTGGTGGAAGCATTTTAATTGTAGCTCAAGGTCCGATCTGCAAGAAAACATTATTTAGTAAGCTGTCCTTGTTTAATACATTTGGTTTTTACAGTCATTTATGTAACTACAATAATATTTACCTCCATATTAACGTCGAATGGACCGTGGGCTTTAATTGAAATACATGATTGCTAACAGCTAAATTATGTTCTAATCTAAATGGTGGTAGTATAATACCATCTCTTACGGGGAATGTTAACCGGAGCTCGTCATCTGAAAATAATAGAAAATAATTTTTAATTAATTTGTGGTCTACAAGAGATATACGTGGTATTTAACTTTTACATATTATTATAGAAAACTTACTTTGCATGCCCATAGAAGGTTTCAGCTCGTTGAAATGAGGTTTCACATCGCCATTAGGGCTGATATATGGAGGCATACTGCTGGCAGGCGTTAGAGGTGGCGTCGGATTTCCAGGAACTGGACTGTGCTGGTAGCTCATGTTAGTGCGCATTGCAACTTCCTGCGCGAACTGACCTCCGTATTGTCCACCATACTGCGCATTACTGCTCTGGTGCTGAGGGAACTGGTTTGGCACGTTACCATTGAAATATTGCCCCTGATTCGAGTAAGGCGGCGTCGACTGCCTCATCGTTCCTCTCATTGCTGCACCGAAATTTCCGCTAGGTCCCAACGGTTGCTGTGGCGGGTATTGCCCCTGGAAGCCCGGCCTACCACCGTACCCCGCTGGGTACTGAGTCGGTCCAAAATTGGGCTGCCCACTCATGTATTGCGTCTTCCGCTGGCCCATCAGCATAGTACCGGACGGATACGGCGTATGCCGCCTCTGGTATCCCGGCCCCATTTTTGCCGAGCTGCTCATTTGTCCAGGCCCCATTTGCGATGGCATCATGTTTGCGTGCATACCCATGTTAGCCATCTGAGCCATTGGGTTCATACCGTTCATACCGGCATTTCCCATTTGCCCCATACCGGTCATCCCATTCATCCCGCTGTTGCCACCCATCCCCATCCCAGTCATTGCTGGGTTATGACTGCGTTGTTGACCATAGCCGTTCATCGCACCATATTGGGGATTTCCCATAGTCATGTTACTTTGCATCTGTAAAATGAGAATTTTTATCTGTAGAATCGTATACGTGACTTAGAGCATGTTCAATTATTTTTGATCAACTTTCAACTCCTTTTGATTAATTGATTAATATTCAACGAGTGTTTGTGTTACAGTTTTTTTATTAAGGGTCGAATTAGGAGTAGGATATCAGTATTTCATCACAGTTGAGGGTGTTATATTCGCTTTTGTTACCTGCGAAAATGGCTGCGAGTCCTGCATCGCGGCCGTGGTGGCCGCGGCGACCATTGCGGCGGTGGCGCCGAACTGCGCGTTCTCGCCCCCGCCGCTCATCGCGCCCGAACCGCCGGCGCACCCATAGCCGCTAAAACAATATCAATCAAATTTTTATAAATAAAAATTCACAGATTTTGTAGATCTAGATATGTACTTACTATACTACTGTACTACTTCCTAAGTACCTCATTAAGCATATTCAACATTATCAAAGTTACTAATAGTGTTAAAATTGATTGTTTCTTATGGTGTGTATCAAATAGATACACGTGTACATATTAAATGTGAAATCGGTCCGGTTAATATTATTTCACTCACGATACGAGCAGTTTCTATTGCAAGCGGCCTTGCAGAATCGAACATTCCACACGTTAACGCTTCGATTATTAATAAACTCAGACTCAATATTCAACCCAAATTCTATCGACGCAAGATCTTTTTTTAATACACGCCGTGATTTTATTATTTTACTAACAATGAGAGAAAAAATCAATATGGACGTATAGTGACGCGTTGTTACCCCTGTGTTTCTCTCGGGATGTGTTTGATTTTTTGTATGGCGCCGGAGTGGGAGAACGATTCATGTGAACTGCTTTTGGGGCGAATTCCCGAGCCTTCCCGGAGCCCTTTCTAATAATTCCCATTCGACAAATGCACGACAAACACTCGCACGGGCTACCCATTGTTGCGAGCATCTGTAGTGGAGCAACAATATTGGCCCTTTGTGAACGTGTATGAAATTATTTTAATACATGTACATTTACGTGTGTGCGTGTAGTATGTACACAAACAGTAACTGATTACGTACAAAATTAATTGAGTTGTAAAATATACTTTTATATAACAATTCGAATCATAACTCGCTAAAATTAGTTTGCTAGCTACGATTGCATTACCGTACGTCAATCAATTATAAGGTGCGTAGTCTGTGGCATTGTCGATATTTGATTTATTGTTGTGAGGCGGTTACATCTAGATACTACCTTTTAAGTATTCTCGTAAATAGCTTAACAGATACTTAATAGCGCCGACAACTAATAAACACAAGTCAACAACGCTCAACTCGACATCGTCTCTATTCATTGTCGCTGCAGATGATTTACAAGGGTCCTTCCTTAGGTAAACTCGACCCGGCCTGCACTTCTTTTTATAGTTTTGTCTGGACCTTTTTCTTTTTGCCGACCGAAATGTGTAGTCCACAAAAAATCTGTGTGTTCTGTATCCTGGTACACTTTTTGTAAAAGTGGTACCACATCCGAATAATCACTTACGGTCTGTTCAAAATATTTGGGTTGTTCAATGCGAACGTTCGTCTCAGGCATTCTTTTGGGACAATTCTCGGAACACCTTTATGAAAGACTTATCTCTCGGTAAACGAGCCTGCACAGACTTGACGACTGCTGGCGAAATGGTACCTACTACCATGGAATATAATACTGGTGCTTTGTGCAGAGGGTACGACACGATCTATATGTGGGCGCGTTACACCCGTTCTTCGACATACGAAACTTCTAAATAAATCAATATGAATGAGTAGGCAAGCCGCTATTTTGAGAAGCTGGAAGGTGTTTGGCATAGTATTGAGAGATGTGCGAGTAACGCGTAGGTATTTTGATACATAGGCTGCAGTTAATTTTAGATTAGTGCGCAGACGTGTCGGATTCCTGGTTAATTGGCAGTCGAGATAATCGTGTATTGAAACCGCCTGCTTAAGAATCACGTTTCTACTTTCAAATCTAAATTATTAGGCGGCCAATGTGTACCAGGATTATTTGTTATTTGTAGTAACAGTAAAGATTTATTATTGTAGATTTGTTGTTAAAATCATTTATAAGCGTGTATAACTGAATGTTAAGTTTTATTTGAAGTGAAGTGTTAAATAAGGCATTAATTGTGAGTCTCGTATAGATTACTATCGCGGTAGCGTGAAGCCGTGGCGTGTTCCACCCCTGTGTTTCGACGACAGTTGGTCACCCCCATTTAAATGCCACTTCACATTGTGGCTTGTGCGCACACTGACATAATATAAAAGCGTTAACGTTAATATTATTGGATCGATTGAATCGCGTCTTAAGTATCTTTTATTTTGATTAGTATTAGTAGCATAGTTTTTTTATTATAATCGTTGTATACATTCAAGTGTGTAAATAAGAAATCTTGAATAGAAATGCGTCTGATTAGGAGTCGGTCTATGTATGTAACTAGTATATTTTTGGATTTGTTTTGCCGCGAAGTGTAACCACGGGCCATCGGCGTTTTAATTAAGTACAACACAATCTATCTCTTTCCCATCAATTGATGCGGGGTCCGGAGAATGAATCATGCTTCAAGGAGCGGATTCCGGGGGTTTACAAATGGAACCGAGCGTTCCGGGGTAAATACGGTACAATGAGCGGGGAAGGGTCGGCTACGTCGCCTAGGGTAAGTGGGGCCGGTCACGTCAATATGGGGCTTTATTATGGCGACGCTCCCGATAATAATTTGTTTGGCTGTGATGATATTGAACCGAAAGGAATCGCTAATTTAACAACGTAGATTAACACGTGTATTTAAATTTGCCTTTTTTATTTCATGTCATTGAGGAAGATGTTACTGTTTCGATTGAAACGTTATGTGTTACAAACACTACGGCAGACATATTTAAGGTTTCTATTGAGAATTCGTTCGGGCATGGCGCACGTGGTGTATTAGTATGTTGTGTCAGTGCATCCGCCCCCAGACGTCTCGCTCGATTCAAACTGACGTTTTTTCCCACGATCACTTACTAACGGTTACAAATCTCTTTGTTACTTACAATGCCCTTATACATTCTTAACACTTTATAATTTGATATTAATTTAATGAGTAACTTTGGTTAAGTTTCTCTAACTTCCCTACCCTTGAAGTTAAGTAGACTTCCTGTGTTCTGTTCACACAATCTCGCTGCCGGTCCCCACTTTTATTATTATTTACTTATTGGTTTTGTATAAAGGCAGCCTGCCATCAACAATATGTCGTTTGTAAAGGTGACTACTAAACAAAGCCGTTGAGCGCTTCGACTTAACACCTGCTCAGAATTTTTTATAACATTGTAATTTGGTTCATAATAATCATTACTAAAAACCGTTTATTTGGATAATCTTCTGTAATTATTTATTTAAAATAGTGACAGTTTAAATAATCAAAGTAGAAAGTGTAAACGAAAAAAATGTTATTGGAATGAATCTTTAACTGTTCGATGCTCTCGGTTGTGTTGCTAGTTTAAATGTTTTGTTTATTTGTGTTTATTGTAAGCGCTAAAGTGCAGTCACCGCGTGCATTCCCATTATGTGCCTGTGTGAGAGTATCGTGGATGTGTGCGTGAGTATGCAGTAGTGTGAGTGCAATGAGGTGCGACTGTGTGCGTGGTGGGTGCCCTAAAGCGTTTGTGCGTGTGAATGGAGGAGCACATTTCATTTATAATTGCAGTGATGCGCGGTCGGCAATGTCACACTTGTGTGTACTTTTAAAGTTATGTTTGGTTTGTCGGGGCAATCGAATGCACGAGTATTTAAAATAAGTAATTTAGTTCTGATAGATTTTGATTTACGTACGTTATTTTGTTAGATTGATTGTGTAATAAGAATTTCACAGTTAATTTAATACATGAATTGTAATGTAGTTGAGATATTTACGTAGATGGTGTATTTTTGATTTTATTGCTTGTTAACTACGATAAGGTGGCACAGGTAAGCCGAGTCACGTTTCAGCGTTTTGTTGAAATGTAAACAAACTTGTTCCGGATAAGATAAAAACAGTAAAGGCAACCAGGCTGGTACTTACACAAAGCGTCAGTTTTGGTAACTGATAACAAATTACAGATCTACCTATTTATCATTTTTGATTCATAATTTAACCGTCACTTAGATAATTTCCTCTCAACTTTAAAATTCTGACACAATTTTATGTAACGATGTTTCCACAACACAGACAACGATTTTTGTAATATTGTTGACTATTTAAAATTTAGATTTATTCTGATAGCAAAAAAAACTAGCAATTTCTACGTAACCTTACATAACTTCTACCTAATAAAAGTTAAAAACAATATTTGGTGTACTCACCTAGGGGTGTTGACTCTGTATCCAATGGTCCCTTGCAATGGGTTGTGTTTTCCACTATCGGGAGCTTGTGCTCCCCCGTAGGTGATGATAGAGCCCGCGTACCCAGCCGTACTATTGGAGTTCGCCGTCCTGCCGTTCCAAGGCACCCCCTGAAACACGATGCACCTGGTTTGTTGCGACTCAAAAATATCGACGTCAGCTCGTAACTGACATCTCCACCAATCGGCATTAATTCTACAAAATTTCCATCATGGTGAATTCTACTTTTTTCTTCAATATTGTACTCGTGTCAGTCGCGAGCGTACAGTCGTATTTTCTGTTATCGCGTATCGCGCGTAAATTTCGCTCCAGCCGTTCGTCGAACGTCAACAATTGACGAAACGTTCATCGTTTACCTTTGTGAAAATTTCATTGCCGTCATCTATTATGAATCGCTTCTTGTCCATTATTTTCATGTCTGATTATTATTATTTAATTTTCAATCCAATTAAACATTTTTCATATTTATTATTTTTAATCAACACTTAAAATCATGATTGATTTTGTCACTCAAATTTTTGCTTGATCACACAAGTGTTCATTTCACATTTTTCATCTGTCAACGATGAACGCTCCGTGCATTGATTAGTCTTCGAATCAGCTGAGACAAAATCCAGCGTGTACGTTTACGACAGGTGGTGTCCTGGCTTTAAACATTTCACATATTTTTTGTGAATACCCAATGTTGTTTCAGAAAAATATTTTATTTTATTAATTAATATTTTTCAAAGTCTATGTTGAAAAAAAATTTTTTTTTTTACTTGTAAAAAGTATTAAAACCAGCACAGAAAATTTAGGAAAACACTGATATTTACTTGAATGCCACTTTCACGTAACACTGTTCTTGAATTCACTGCAGAAATATTTAATTCATAATCCAATGTTGACACTTAGAATAAATCCTTTTTTGGTGATCCACTTCACTGTTTGCTCAAAAATCCAAATAGTCACTTATCACAACTCATCAAAATCCAAATCCAGGGAGTAATGAGATCAAAACTTGTCACTGTGTTCCAGCATTCGATAGCCAATAAGTTATCGTTCACTCACGAGTCCGACTTTGAAGTCACCGAAACATCATAGACGTGTTGCACGAGTGTCGACACCGACGTCACTGGCTACGACGGCGAACGACCGCGCATTCGACCGTCAAAGGTAACACTGGCTGGATGATGGCGATGGTGAGCCGGCGACGGTGAGTGAGAGGTTGCGGCGCGGGGCGCTCCCACCCCGCGCGACGTTGCCAGCTCGCCGCGATAAGTGGCGCACCCCCGCGTCCCCCGCTCGTAAGTCGTCGTCTCGGCACTCGGCGATCGGCCGTGTTCGGGCGCCATCGTCACCGTATCGGCTCTCTGCCCCACCCCGCGCGCTCGACGTTTTCACGTAACGGTCCTCATCCTCAATCGAGCGCGATACTGCCACTGCGATAGTTGCAATGTTCTGCCGTCATTGCGATTTCAATGATTAAAGTAGAGCGCCGTCGGTAAAAATGTTATTGAATATTTAATGAAATTAAACATTAGCTTTTGAGAATTTTATTCAAAATGTTATGTAAAAAATATTGATGATAATAATATTTAAATAATCTCAGGTAGATATTATGTATCTCAGTTTTTGCGCAGCGGCTCGACGCGCTGCGACGGTCGACAAGCGTCTGCGTTGGGGCATAATAATTAGCAACGATAAACAATGGGCTTGTCGTCCTCTGGCTGCTACCTGCGCATGACGATAGAGGACGAGTGACTTGTCCCGAGATGTCCTTGCGGTGTGCCGCTTTGTCGCTGCTCGCATTTTGCACATCTTTCATTATTGCTGTACCAAATTTTACGTTAATTACTTTGACATACTTAGGTCTTTTTATCTCGTTATGTAAAAATTGGTAATAGGTAAATAAATTAGATAAAACCTTAAATAAATAAAAAAAAACGCCCTTCAAATAATTTAATTAGGAATCTTACACCAAATACTTAACTATTTTATCTTTAGTCATGTCATGATGAATATAAACATGTTATTTACCAAAACAAACAGGACGGTGATCTGAGTACCTAAACCGAAATCAATAATTTTAGGTTCAACAATAAAAATATAATTATAGTACCTGTTTATAATAATTAGGTATGTATATCTGCCTGGTAGCACGAACATTTTAGGAAAACTTCTAAACTAAAGTTGTTTACTTGTTCCGTAAAAAAATAACACGTGACATTTATCTATTTAATTATAAAAAATGTTTTATATAAAATGATATAATAAGAAATGATAATGTTAACATTTGTAAAACGGTCTACATTAGTTTTGTGCGGCACGCACATCGCCTGCGCCGACTGGAAAGTCGGGAAAGCGAACGTAAAGCAGTGCGCGCGTCGCGTCTCGTCCGCGTTCCGATGCGCCCGCGCCGCCCTCTACTCCATTCATAAAAATAATTAACTACCTATCCGCTCCAACGGCTCTAAATATAAATGTTGTGTAAATATAGCGATTTTCACATTTGTTTCGTAAATAAAATAGTAGTATTAGGGTAACTTCATCCTTCGATAATAGTTTTCCATTCCACGTCGTATCATCGTATGTCATTGTTATTATAATATATGTATTTAAAATAGCTGAAATCTTTGGAAGGGTAAACAATCACTTTGATGTTTTTTTTCCTTTTTTTAGCATACAATGAAACTATTTATTTACGTTAATCCTATGAAAATTAGCGTGCCGCACTACAGAGTATCCCGAACTTGCGCGTGTGGCCTCTCCCTATGGTACTTCGTACGGTAGACAATTACAAAGTTTAAATTACAAATTAGTTTCAAATATGTACTAGTGTGGCTCGTCTCGTCTATAGATTACTTGAACTTACAGACTTCAGTTTTACTCTAATTTGATTACTGATCTGTTTGAATATGTTATAAAGTTTAAAGGATAGTTTAGATACAGTTTTGCCAATGTAAATCGGTGTTGTAAGTACTTAGCTTTAATAACGTGATTATAGAAGTAATGGCATAACTGTCGGAAAAGATCGCATTCTTCTTTTTGAGGAAGAGGTACAGAGTATTTGAGGAAAACTACAATTCATTTTATACAGCAAGTTATAAAAAATACTTGGCTTGATTGGTGAAAGAATGTTCTGTTAGATACCTATAAACACAACGGAGGCGATTAGAACGTGTTTAGTTACCTTTCTTCCGCAGAACGTTATCAATTCAGATAAAGTTTGTGACGTAGGACAAAACTGATAAGAAACATATGCCATAAATATGTGTACATTTACACACGTAGCACATACTTACCTAAGCACAGATAGGTACGAATGTTTTCATACCTTTTGTGCTACGTGACTGCACAGGAGTGAAGGTCGATCACAAGTATTGGTGGAATCTAATCAGTACAGATCTACCATTCTGTAATATAGTGCAAATAAATTATAACAAAGTTATTTTGATTGTAAAAAATAATGTTTGGCTGAAAAGGTTTCGTTTTATTGACTTTTCTCAGCCTTGGGCGGGCGGCTGAAATTCCTTAGGCCTACTTATGTGTAGGTACTTTAATTCTCAAGTTATTTAACGAAACGGGGTTTGATAAAGTCGTACTAATAATTTTGTCTGTCGATTGATTCGTTTGGTGGTTGATATCGACTTGTGTGGGCGTCAAAATAGAAGGCAAAGTTCATTTTACCTCCATTTTGGAGCAGACGCTAAAGGGCAACACGAAGGCGGGAAACCGATTTTGCTTCTAAAGTAAAATATTTCAGTTACAGAAAGAAATAAAAAAGATTATTGTACTTATGAAATCTTATATCAAAAAGCTATTTTACTCGTGTAATAGATATTCCAAAAAAAAATATTTTAGCAAATGGGTTTAAAACTATGCCTAGTCAAAGTCACCTAAATATTAAATAAACGAGGAAACGAATAATGATAATCACAATTTGGATTTTCCAAAAATATAATTTATCAATAAAATAGGTAGGTACATGAAATCGTTTATATCACGGTCATTACTTTGGGACCCGTTCGACGTAGAAAGAACGACAAAGATAATGTGACATTTACATGCTACGCGGGTTGTTTATTTACTACATACTGATTAATGTTTATATTTAATTATGTAGAGAATCAGCACAGACGATATCGCTCTCGATTTTTTATGTAATACGTAAAATTCACGCACGTTGTAGCAATTACTTTAAGTAGAGGCTCTATACAAATAAATAATGAATATAGCTTATATGCCAGTATTGTTATTGTACTCGAAGTAGCTGTAAATCTTATATCTGTATAATAAAACTATTTTCTATGTTCAGTGGATAATATTACTATTGATTATTTGAGAAAACAATAATGAGTAAGTGGGTAACTACGTTCACAATTCCGATACATAAGTTTCTATTTAATTATGACATAACATAGTATCACTGCCTTTTTTCCTTTTAGAAATGAGGAAAGAAAGATATTTGCTAGTAATATTTGACCTTTGTACGACGTACACTCGAATAGTGTCTCGACATTCAATTTAAAATTCAAAATCTTATTAAATAAATAATTTTGTTGCCAAGTAAAGGCAAGTTAATGAATAACATGCGTTCTGTAAACGTCTGTAGGTAGTTAGGTACAAACTGGTCACGTGTCGATGTGATCATGCAATTCCACTCGGTATTACAACAATAGCTCATCATCAAAGCGCTGAAAGCGGAGAATTAAAAAAATCAGTTTTTCCTCATATGTTGACAACAGTTATAAATCACAGTCGCCGTGTTTATTTTATGATCCAGCTATTATCGTCAACTCGGCGGTTTTGCAACGTGGTCGCTGCGCCTCCGAGCTGAAACGCGTGCAGGGTTGTCGAATCACCAGCACATCACTATGTTTTTACATAATAAATACACCATAATTTTCCTCATTACCTTCTCTGAAATTCCCGAGGTCGACTCGGTTATTTATGTAGGTAATTGATTTCTATACGAAGAAATATTACAAATTAATTTTAATTTAATCTTTACGTGTGCTAGAGCTACGCTAGTTAGTGGCATCCCTTGCTTCGTAGAAGTCGTAAAAAACAGATATGTTATACTCGTATTTGTACCTACATGCATCGGCTATTTCCGTATCTCTCAGTACTTCCATTCCTGCGGTGTTTCGCAGCCAGATCTTATGGTATTTAATTTTATGCAGCAATGTTAGAATCTTACTCACCACAAACGAGATGAGTAACGTACAATTTGTTTTATTGTATTGTGTTTTGTGTCCTGCAAGTGAGCAGGTACCTACTAAGACAAAATAGGGTAGATTATTATTTCTTTTGTTTCATTCGTAACTAAAAATTCTTGTTTAAACGTGTTCCGAACCAGCTGAATGTGGCATTCAGAGATAACAAGTATCTAATTATTGTTACTGAAAAAGATTATGCTTACCTACTATACAAAAAGTGAAGTCATCATTTGGAACAGGACTATAAGATTCCTACTGCGTCCCCATCTTCCGGTCATTTAGTAAAATCATAACCATAGTTCAACAAGACGTAATATTATAAACATTTACTTACTAAATATTAGTATGCATGATTTCAGGTAAAAATGAATAAAAATAGGTATGCCCAATCATAAGTAAAGGACAATAACGCTGATAACGAACCCACGCAATATTGGCAATGTCATGATATGTTGCAATTATTTATATAAATGTTCGATATACTCTTATCAATTTAGGTTATAGCTGAGATAAAAATACGTATATAAAAGGAAGACTAGATACTTTCTCACATTTCGTCTCACGTCATTTATGCATGATATTCTAATTATATAATGTTTATGAGCTACTTGTATTGGGGACTGATAAAATGAACCTTTGGACTTTGAACAGTAGGAAAATAAAATTATAATTTCATGCTAAATAATAATTTGTTAAATATCACGGGCAAAGTCCGTAGTGCAAGTTTTAAATGTTTTGATAAACAAAGTCAATTGTTTATATTTTTGTATCACTATAGTCGTAGTATAGATAGTTGAAGCAGTTATTGTAGAGGCAAAATCATTAAATGACTTCTCCCGCCCTGGGTGAGTTAAGAGAGAATATCAGAGTCTAACTGACTAAAAACCCCCGTTCCTACTTCGAGCCGGGCCACAGTGACCCGCTAGGTCAATTAGCTCTAGCCACCATTGCCTAAAACAAATGCGTAGTCGTCTATG